CTCTTCTTGTTTTTTCCCAACTGGTTGTTTTTGCGTTGAACTACCGAGAACGATCAAGGAGCTTAACCAGAGTATTGTGGCGCAGTGCGAAAGCATTCTAACTGCTACCATTCTGAAGGTGGAAGAAAACTATCTTCGCCGTATTTGGCCATGCAAACAGCAGGATGGAAAATATATCGAACAAAATTTATAAAATAAATATGCGTTTTTCCATAATTTTATTCCTTCTTTCCTTCAGAATTATATCTCCGATTTAGTTAGCGAGGTAGTTCAACGCAAAAACAACCAGTTGGGAAAAAACAAGAAGAGCTTTGCGTGGTCCCGCATTAGAGGATATTGTTGTCCGTTATTAGGACAAATTCAAAGTTTTATTATGATTATCTGCTTACGGAACCCGCTTCGAAAAATAGTGTGCGTATCTTAAACGAGTCAAGCGTTGGCCTAGTGTCACAATCGCTTGAGCATTTCCCATTCAGAATTTCCCACATGGCGCACCGCTCCACAGCTGATTGTCTTGTGGTGATTCTCTACAAGTAAACTTCGACTGTGTAGCAGGAGTGCCATCAGCAATCGGATGGACTGGATGTAACAACAAGAGCATTAGACAACGTGCAAGCCGGTAATCAGACAATCTCGTGTTGGGATGAGCGATTTCAAGCGCCGCAGATCGCGGAATATGATCCAATCAGATCGCATTAGGGGTCAGAGGGAATTTACTTGCTTAAGGTCACGGGTGAGAGGGACGAGACGATCGAAAACGATGGAGCAATCGCACTGTAGAGTGTCACGTTGAAATTCTCCATGCATACACATCTCCGTGATTACTCCTCGGATCCCATAGTTCGCTTGTTTACCAGTAACCATCCAGACTATGCTTACCGAAATTGTGTGTTCTGTTCAACCATTCCGTTTCGTGTTTTTATGACTAAAATCCTGTCTATTCACCTCACTCTATTTTGTTGAGATTTGGCAGTGATCAAACCACTGACTATGATCAAATTTGGTTCGCTGGTGACGCAACTCATGGCTGTATAGAGAAATCAATTGGATGTTGATCGTAATGTTGCTAAACTGATTTATTTCAGAAAATTCGCCCATGACAATGAGAAATGCCGGTAACCCCGTTCGGGGTGCTGTCGTTAAATATGCTCCACAGCTCACTATGAAAGGTATATGAAACAGTGGTGAATCCAGTTTGTTATCCTCTGTTAAATAACATGGACGTCAAACACCGTGGGTGAACGCCAATCAACAAGGTCATGCGTGCATTGTGGATCCGTCATTTGTCAAAACAAAACCATGTCAAGCAGCTGAAAACGGTTGGAGATGGAAGACCTAGGGACCATTAGCCACCATTCATCGATCACGACGGTTTGTTCTTAACGTTTTGGTCGACCGATATCGGTGTCACTCGAAGAATAAACGTGGGATCCGACTAAAGACCTCTGATCAAGGAACGGGACAGCGCTTACATATTGTTTCAAATAAAGTAACATACGCTTCTCTAATAAGTTTACCATTAAGCTTCTTACAACTGAAGAAGATGAGGTTCGGGCCATGGATAATAGATAACCATGCTGATGATTGAGTTATGTGGATCAGAAGTTACAAAATGTGTGTTCGTGAATGAAATGGCGTGACATTCAGCGACGAGAAAAAGGTAAACCTCAACGTCCCTGATGAATCCCTGCATTATTGGCATGGCCTGCGAGAGTGTATACACAGATTGAACCGTCGAGTCAATGATGGTGGCTCTGCGATAGTTTGAGGTGTCACTTTTGTTCATGAAAAGTCTCAGCCAGGGATTATCGAAGGAGATCTGAAGGCCGAATCTCACAACCAATCCTTGAATGGGTTTCTTCTTACCCCGATTCTAGAACAACAATTGGGAAGCATAATTTCCCAACACGAAAATGCCTCTATACACAAGGTTCAGCCTATTTGGAATGTAGTTGCTACACCACAAAATCAAGACCATGGACTAATCGGTTCACGGGCCGGATTTCAACCGCATTGACAATCTCTGAGAAACACTGACGAGGTGAATGTGTTCTTAGGGAAATTTATTCCACACTGTCCATGAATTATAGACAGTGATCTGTTGTGATTCGAACGATTTCGAAGGTTGGACAATCTTAAACCTTATTTTAAGTAGGCCTGGGAGTTATATTTTCAGTGATTAATAATAAAAGGTGGTGTTTGCCAATCAAGGCGATATTTGTATAATTTTCCTGGGGTGAGGTTATTAGCATTTACCACTTTTCCTGAAACGAATCAGTAAGGGCAAAGTTAAATATAAATCTTTTAGGTTTCTCTTTGATCAGTTTTATCGTTACATCAATCTGGGTGGTTATGTAACCGAGAGATTACGAGAAAACATTGTGGTGGTAATAACGTCTTGTGCAACTTTCTCCATTTTATATTTCCCTGGGGTTCCTGTGTAGTGCATTCCCTTTGTAGCTCGGATTTGACTCGGAGTTTCACCGTTCCCTTCACTCTTCTTGCCCTAGTTCTGTCCCAGACAAGATGTGCCCACATTTTCTGCTGTTACTTGCGCCCTTTTGCTGATCATTCAGTTTCATTGAGGTCTTCTTTTCCCCTCTGCAAATCAACGCTCGAACTATTGCGATGCAAATGATCTCTTCGCTTTTGGAATAAGCTAATCACCTTAATTCCTACTCCCATCCCTCTTTTCAATGGATTGAGGATTGTGGAAGTTGTTCCCTATACCCTTGTGTGCTTTTTCCATTGGACTTTAATTGCTTAAATTATGTCTGTTTCCTTAATTTATACATATGCTCATGAAAATTTGTAGAGTCCTTTTGCGGATCATTTGCGTTACGATCATCTTAGTGCGGTCGCACATCAAGAACGGTCTACAAATATTTTACCGTTTGACACCAGTGACAATTGTATGCTCGTCAGTTCCAGTCAACTTTGTGAGCCAATTCATCTAAAACAACTTAGACTGACTCCTGTTGTTTAATTTGTATTTAGAAACGAATAGTGCATTGTAGTCCCGGTTAAACATCATCCAAAGCTCCCTGTTTATCCCGACCAATTTTATTCTTAGAGGGCAATATACTTTTCACAAAACAGACATCGTCCGGTCGCTTTCATACATTTCACCACAAATGTATCAGTCATAAGTTCAGTCATTTGCCTCAGTGGTCATCGATCGACAATCACGTGAGTCAGAAATTATNGGAGTCTACTCCGTTCACTTGAATCATAAACGCTTCATCGGCTGGCTTTTGCTGTTCATGTCTGAAGACACTGTCATCCGGCTTCTGGACGAAAGTCGACATTATATTTCACCAAACTCAACTTCGTTCGATCCAAATGGTCTCTTGCTATTTTTCGAACCCAGTCGCAAGTATTCCTCGACTGCCAAGGAAAAGCAAAATCCCGTGTTAGAATATTGTGCCNCTTTTGGACCGTCTACCAACAAAACCGAAACCCGAAAATTCCGAACAACAAATCGTTCACAATGAAGGTCGACACACATTTCAAATGATTATGTATGTTACCGCAGCGGTAGCTCTGAAAGAACAACAGTCCTTAACATGTTCAGATTTGGAACGAACTTCCGACCCGATACGAGTAAGATGGGGTCAGTCAAAAGGTCTGGGTGGGATGCAGGCCAACGGATCAGATTCAATAAGAAAGTTGGAAGAACTCTATGAGGAAACTGGTTCCGGTAGTCAACTAATGAAGGATTCCAAAATAGTGAATCCCATTTTTTCCTTGTCATTGTCACTGGCTGATTTTCGCCCGCTAAAAGCACCTTTTGTACCCGATCTGATAAGATATTTAGTCAATCTGATTGAGTTCTATTGCTACAAGACAGATTGGCGTAAAATGTACGACCCATTAACTGAACAACAGACGGAAGCTAGAAACTGCTTAGTTCAGATACTGGAAATTGGGAATAATCGTGCAAAAGAATTGCGACGTACATTGCGCACTTTGAATGGTCCCATCAGAATTGCCATGCTACGTATATTTCTGAACGCATTTTCAATCAAACCGCTGCATTTCTCCACGGCACTTGTCCAGGAGCTAGTACAACGACCATTATATGATCACTTTTTACGTCCTAACCCTAAGTTGCGCAACCTCGTGCAGCGTGCCGCAATCCCCCAGTCCCGAACGCAACTGGACACGCTGGCTTTTCTCATGTCTCACATGCTACACGCGTTAGACTACAATCCGGATACTGTAGATGGTAAAATGAGATTATGCAATGTTTACGGACCATTGCTCATCAGTTTTGCCGAACGTCCTCAGTTGTGTCGTCTGACTCAGGGGAATGCGCGATCCGAAGAAGCTGCCTTGTTAGACGTGATTCTCGAGGTTTGCGATCTGCACTTTTGGAATCACATGAGCATGTTAAAAATTTCGGGTGCATTTGCGTACAAAAGAGTACCAAGAACGGTTCTGACTGGTGTGAGCGATGTTGAAGGGACCACACCGAAGTGGGAGGAGAGTGACGCTAGAGTGCAAAAGTCCAGGATCGTCGATTCGAGCAAGGAACCGTATGCAGAAATAGTGTCCGCCTCGATGACAAATGAGATTCTCCGAGCTGTTCAGTTGATGGGACCAATGAAGGGGGGTAATCAGACGGATGAAACAGAATTATTGTCTGCTCTGGATCCAGAAAGCAGAATACCGTTACCAAAAAGATATTGCGCATTGAGTCCGTTAAATATGTGAGTTGTGTACCAGCATCCAGAACTACGAGATAAAGCAATGGAGCCATAGATGCTCGCAACTACATAGGTAGATAGATAGACAGATAGATAGATAGACAGATAAAATGACGAGAGATTATCAGATTGGCGAACCTAATCGAACGTGAGCTTCCACCGAAAATGTTTTCCTCTATTAAATTATTATATATTACATTATATTTATATCACTAATCTTAGTCCAGGGAGTGAAAAAATTATCATGGAAAATAACGTTTATTGTACTGAAACCAATCAATGACTTTGTCAAATCGCAATAATGATAAAAATTGTCAAATTAATGAAAAGGTAGCACCGTTTACAGTGACTGAAATATATATGTATTTCCAGTATTTCATCATTATACGAAAGATTGATTAAATCATCTCGGTTTTCCTTTCTATTCGTTGAATAATCACATAATCACTTTTCCACATGAACTGTGGTCACTGAAACTTTACCTGAGATAGGGGAGATAAATGGCAGTAACGGGATTTGGACTGACGACCTCCATGGCCCTAAACCACATGGTAGTACGGGCGCAACAGTATTTTACTATTATTTTGTTGATGTGCTTGATTGATGGTTAACCCGTAATTTGTCAAAACAGAACCCTGGCAAGCAGATCAAAATGATTGGAGCTGGAAGATCCAGGGACCATTATTCACAGGTTTGTCCTGGAAAAAATACCACTGGTCCTCGCAATCTGTTCGAAAACTTTTGGCCCACCCACATCAGTATAACTTGAAGAATACAGTTGGGTTCAGGCTAAAATTTTCTGGTCAAGGAACGAGACAGCTCTTGCGTATTGTTTCGAATCAGCTAACGAGCGCTGCAACGATAAACTGACCATTGCGCTTCGGTATGAGTGTGTGGTGCATACAGTAACTGTGACCAACCACACCACACCTACAACCCAACAAGATGAGGTCCGGGCCACATATAACAGATGGTCACAGTATTTTTTATAATCTTGGTGTTATATTTGGCTGTTTTTTTTACAGGATTTCACATTCAATAACTGTCATGATAAACCGACCACAAAAGTTCACGTTGTTAACCTTCAATTTTTATTCCATTTGTTACAGTATAACCGGTGGCCGTTACCGAATGTTATCTACAGTGAGAAACTTGACTACCATTCCGCTGTACAAAGATGACTCAATCCCATCGACGCATTATGCTCATCGAGAGTCAACGTTAACTGGAAAATATTTATCCATATTCGAGACCAAACCTCCTGGTCAGGTCCACTCTTACAGTACAAAACGTCTGTTAGAAGAATCACGTTTATATCGTATGGGCAGAATCTCTTTTCCAAATCGCACTGTCAGCCTAAAACCCCGGAACCCAAACCAGTTGACCACATCAACCGTGCAACCATTAAGCGAGCACACGATCGCATTCTGTCGTGCGGATTCAGACGAACCACTAGCATCCCGAATGGAGTGGGGTGATTAACTTGCCAAACAACTGATCACCTAACTGGGAGTTTCCAACGTATCTGATAGCTGATCATGAAATCCTTGTGTACTCATTGCATTTATCAATCAGATTATCTGGGAATGGGGTTCACGATCTACAAAAATATTTAAAACCAGCCCTGTCTTACAACGCTGCTTGAACAAAACATGTATATAATAGTAATAATATATAACACAATTCACTGTATT